GACTAAGATGGTTTTAATAGCCCTACAGTCTGGTCCAATTTTTCCAAAGGGTAAAAACGCAGTCTTTGAAGTAAAGTATTTACCAATCTGATATAAATAAAACCTTTCATGCAGAAAAATGTTTTCCCAAATGGAAGAGTTAATGCACCTCAAATCTGTGAGAAATTTGCTTCCAACTGTGCAGTGTTTAGTAAAGGTTCCATTTTACTTTTTCATTATAAAATTTGGGGAAAATATCAGTGAAATTGAACATGTCACTTTATAAGTCAATGCTAGAAACCAACTCACTGTCATGGCTGCAATGACAACTAAGATAGCTCTTAAACTATCTTTTTGAGAAAGCTTGCCTTGATTTTGATCTTTAGTCAGTGAAAGTGGTTTCTCCCCACAGGCGTTTTTTTTATATTCACGAATCTTGTATCTTGCCTGACTTGGCAAATGGGTTCTTGCTGAGAAAAAGCTGTAGTTCTCCCTAACTTAGGAATCAGGAAGTGTACCTCCAACAGATGTCAATAAACTTTTCCCCAATACAACTTAAGGTCATCAACTTCCAGAATTAATCTCGGATCACTGTTAACTCCGATGGCTCCCTATTGCCTGCAAGTGAGCTTGACTCACCTGCCTTCTCAGCCTGTCTCTGTCTCTCTCAGGGCATAGCTCTTGTATTGCCCAGTCTGTCTTTGGACAAGATGTTGTTTCTCCTCAAAAATGCCTTTCCCTGCTCCACCTTCCTTCCACACCCCTACTCATAGGTGATATTTAACGGGCTCCATTCACACTCCCGGAAGTGTTCATTTCTTTCCCCTCTCTGTTTTCCTGACAGATTCAGGTTAAACATACCAAATCCAAAATTCTGAGATCCAAAATACTCCTAAATCCAGAACTTTTTGAATGAAAACATGATACTCCAAGGACACGTTCACTGGAATATTTCAGATTTCAAAGTTGGGTTGCTCAAGTATATATAATGCAAATATTCCAAAATTTAAAAAAAATCTAAAATCTGAAACACCTGAGCATTTTGGAGAAGGGATACTCAACCTGCACTGCTATTATAATGTTAATGATGTGGTAACTAGCGCCTCTGAGAGGCAATGTCTTGTGGTGTCTAAAGGTGAGGAGTTGGAAGACAGAATTTGAGTACTGGCTCTATTCTATCACTTATTAGCTATGTGATAGCTGTTCCCTCTTCTTAGAAACACCTTTCTCCACTCCACCTTCCTGTCACACACCTGTTCAGATGATATTTAGTTGGGCAAATCACTTTAACCTCCGTGAGCCTCAGTTACCTCACCTATATACACTATAACAATAGTACCTACAAAACCACCACACTGTGAAGAATAAGTGCTTCTAGCATAGGTCCTATCACATGATGAGGAGCTGACATCTTATCTGTACTACTAAATGGATAGAGGAAGAACCCAAAGATGGCAGATAAAAATATTATACTCTTGTAATTTGAAGAGTTAACACTCAGATTAGGATCGGAAAGTATAGCTATCTTGAAATCATGTGGTTATTTTTTTTTTTTTTTGTAAATCATGTGAGGAACTGTCAAACGGGCAAATGAATAGTAAGTTCACACACTCCTTCAAAAGAGTGTACAGAGTCTGCCTTTAGGATAGCTTAGCTTTGGCTCTGTTGCATGACGCAAGAAAAGAAATTGAATATTGGGCTAAGCATGATGGCTCACGCCTGTATTCCCAGCACTTTGCAAAGCTGAGATGGGAGGATCTCCTACTTGAGCCTAGGAGTTCAAGACCAGCCTGGACAATACAGTGAGACCTCTGTCTCTATTTGAAAAAAAAAAAGAAGAAGAAATTGGATATTGCACAAAGCCAAGAATGAAAGGAAACATGGGGATATGCCACACTTTATTTGCAAAGAGATTCTGTTTGGTAGTGTGGAAACTTTCTTGTTACAAAATTGAGATATTTATGTAGTGGAGGTGAGTCCAGTGTCAGCTTAGATGAGCAAACTTCAAATTGAGAGTCTACCTTACCTAAAACTGTTTTCCGTTATTTTTTTCATATGAGATGTGAATAGGGAAAAGGAAAAAAAAGTGTTATGGAATTCATTTTCTTCCAGGAGATAAAATAGAAAACAAATCACAACTATTGCCAGATGAACACCTTGTCTAAAATAAAATGGCAGGTTTAATGCATTGCAAGATGCCATCTGAAGGGCCTCCTTGACTGAGAAAGCATTTGAATTTTATTTCATTAAGTGAATGTAACTATTCCCATGTGCACCTGGCTCAGACCAGAAAACTCTCTAGATGCCTTTTTTTGACCTACTTAAAGAGAAAATTCAGTTACTATTGCTTGTTTTTAAGCAAATAAAAAGTCAACTGAGGGCAACACGTGAATTGAATGATCATTTACACTTTCTGTATTATGTGTGACTGAAGAGTGAAGAGAGAGAAAACTGTCTTTGCATCCACAGAAGAGAAATTTAAGAAGCTAAAAAGTGCGCGCGCGTGTGTGTGTGTGTGTGTGTGTGTGTGTGTGTGTGTGTGTGTGTGTATGTGTGCTCTTTTGTTCAACTGGACTGGGGTTTAAAAATTCTTGGATCAGTTTTTCATCTTGCAGAAGAGTAAGGTAGCAATTTTTCTTAAGGAATTGGCAGTGATGTGCTCAAGTGCTCAATCCCTTCCTTCTGGCAGACAAGCCTGAGGGGTGAGGGTGGAGGAGGATCCAGGAGTGATTAGGAGGAGCAGGGACTGCTCAGAACCTGCCCTTGGAGGCCAGGGCAGCTTTTTACAGGCTGCCAATAGGAGTGTACTGGCAGCAGCTTATGGATGTGCCAAAGAAAATGGGTCCACACGCCAACCTCTGGCACGTGTAGCACCCACAGTTTGCCAAGGTCCTACACAGACTTTTGATGTCCTGCCCCAGAAAGTAAGTTCATTCTCACTCATTCCACAAGCATGGTAAGTTGGTTGGATATTTCAGTGTTAGGAAAACTCCTGGCACAGAAGGTACCAGGCTGCAATGACAACTAAGATAGCTCTTAAACTATCTTTTTGAGAAAGCCTGCCTTGATTTTTGCCTTTAGTCAGTGAAAGTGGCTTTTCCCCATAGGCATGTTTGCCATTCACAAATTTTGCATCTTGCCTGACTTGGCAAATGGTTTCTTGCTGAGAAAAAGCTGTAGTTTTCCCTAACTTAGGTATCAGGAAGTGTACCTCCAACAGATGTCAGTATAAACTTTCCCCCAATGCAACATCAGGCCATAAACTTCTGGTGCAGTAATTTGCCATTTGAAAATGAAATGTAAGAAATGAAAATTAGCCATTTTTAGATTAGAAGAGCCAGAAGGAAGAGGTTCAGCAGTTTAATATTCACAGCTATTAGACAGGGCCAGCAGTTGTAAAGTGGCATTCCATTCCAGAGTACGCCAGAAATGCTATCTGGTTAAATTTAGGTTTTATTTTAAAGAATGAAATATATAAAATAGGGCACTTTTTTGCTTTTCCATATAAAAGAATTTTTGCAAAGTTCTGGATGACAAAACTTCATGTTTACTTTGTTGTAACCCTTTTTCTATTCTATTTTCTATTCTAAATTATAAACAATTGCTGCAATTTAGTTTGGCTTAGAAAGTGGGCCATACAATTTTAGACTTAAACTTCTTAAAATTTCAATGAGCTCAGTGAAAAATTTCTCTTTCTACTGCTTCTGCTATCTAAACCCCGGCATGAGACTCCTGGTCCTATACAATTTATCCAAAGCTCTGTGCAGCCCAAGAGCCCTTTCATCCTTCACGAGTGAATTCAGGGCTATTGTGAGAGGGAGACATTCTTTCCTTCCCCTTTCACTTAAAAAAATACCAAACCTGAATAGATTTCAGGCTAGACAAGGGAGGGAGTGGGTTTTACTAGTTTTAATATAGCTATTGACAAATGCTGGAGGATGATATTTAAAAAAGAGAGGGAGGAAGAAAAGGTTCTCACTTTATGCCTTAGAGAACAGATTGGTTACAATTTAACTTCTAAGAGGAAAATTTTATAGAATAAAATGACTTACTTTTCTTTCTTTATCATACGTATGTGAAATCTAAGCTAAGAGGACATCTGGAAAGGAATGTTATTCAGCAATCAGAAAGCAAAAATTCAAACCATTAAGGTTTGGATGGAGACAAACATGAGTAGATTCACAAAGAGGAAAGCTGTAACCTATTGAAGTTAAAAAAAAAATTCCATATGCATTTTACCTTTTGGGCAGTTCCATAAAGCAAAGTTCTATTTCAGAAGCTCTTTGTAATATGAAACCCACTGTAGATAAGATATAACATGAAGATAGTCTGTTTTGCAGCAGCAGGAAATCAAATTGGTTCCAGAAACCAAGTTATGTGACAAATGGTTTAATAGCATTGCTAGAATTGGAAAGCTTGATTGAATTATCTTTCATAATTATTAAAAAAAGATCTTGGAATAACTTTGCCATACTGTGTAGATTGGGGACGAGACCCACAGGGAGTGTTGCCAAGGCTGGGAGGGTATTTTATTGTCCTCTTAATTTGTTATCAAAATTTCAGAGCTCAGTGGTGATTTATTAACTTTTGTTTGCAATGAAAAATTACAGGCAAACACAATACTAGATTTAACGTTAATACATGTTGTAGATTATTAAACAGGTTAACAAATATAGATATATTTTATTATCACTTCTAAGTTATTTTTAGTTTTTATCTTAGTCCCAGTCTGCTCTGCCTTATTTAAAAGACATCTGAAAAAGTTCTAAGTCTTAGCTTTTTAGGAGAGACTTCTAAACAGTTAGCAAGATGTATCACTGACAAAATAACCCAGCATCTACCACCCATAGGTGAAATGAAGTCATTCTTCTGACTGAAGTAAGGAACAAGTTAAAAGATCATTTAGACCACAACACACGACTATGGAGATTTAGGAGAAATCGTACTTAAATAGGATGTGACTAGACGTTCAGGAGTATTTTCTAAAAAGTCAAAAAACTTTTTTCCCTTTTGGTACTTACAGTCTTTGAAGACTAGAGCTGGGTCTCTGTGAGGCAAGACTTGGGCAATGATGTGTCTCAGAGATTCCAAGGTTCTGTCCATCTTGGGTCTGCCTGTGCGAGCCTCCTGCACAGAGTGTCCTCATGCCTGAATTCTTGCAGTCCTGGACTGAATTTGTGCAGCTCATTGATGCACTGGATTACCAAAGAATCCCTTTTAACATCTGCCAATCAGACATTTCCCAGAATCTAAAGACCCCTCAGGGGGCCCTCTTCCCAGGCTCACTTATCTTTGTTGTAGGCTGAGCTAATTAGCTCGAAAGGCTGGCTGACAGGCGGGTTCCCATTGCTTCCTTCTGTTAAACACACCCACCTACAGGCTGGCTGGGGAAGCTCGCTAGTCATGGAAACAGCTTTCTTTTCCTACCAGATTCTGACTGAATGCTGTGCAGCTTTTGGGCTTGGGTATTTCCTTGGTACTCTATCTTCAACTGTGCTGCCCCCAGGAATATGCAATTAAGAAGGTTGTTTCTCAAGAAAATTTCCTAAATAACAAAGCAGCTTCCGGTTTAGGATTACCAGCTATCTGTTATCAGCATAATCAGTATATATCTAATCAGTATATATCTAAATGTTCAGGATGATTCTCCTTTGGTAAGCGAGATTGTGGAACTAGCCAGGCACCAGATTATGCTTTATATTTGAATTCAGGAGCCTCTCTCATGGAAATCAAAGCTAGTCTCCCTCCCTCTCTCCCTCCATTACAGTCACTTCTATGGGACGATGGCAAGTAAAAACCAGGTTTTACAGCTTGTCTGGGAACATCCTATTTACCCTGCAAGGCAAATCATTCCCAAGGATGACTTAAATTAATTCTGATATCATTTGCTTCCTTTTATTCCATGATATTTTTTTCTATTACAAATTTCAGGAGAAGCAAAGATGTATTTTATTTAAAAAAATAGGTAGTTATTAACCTCATCTCTACAATAAATCAAAAAATTAGCTGGGCATGGTAGCGCGCGCCTGTAATTCCGGCTACTCGGAAGGCTGAGGCAGAAGGATCACCAGAGCCCAGCAGGTTGAGGCTGCCGTGGCCGGGAGTGGCCACTGCACTCCAGTCTGGGCAACAGAGTGAGACTCCAACTCAAAAAAAAAAAAAAGATTTTAAGAAAACAGTGATTCTTTTTCTGCCTCTGTTGTTCTCCACCACACATGACAATTCAATAATCTTTCTGCAGAAGACATAAATATAATCATGAGATTTCTTTGCAATAATAAGGATTTATACCAGATATAAAATAACAATTTTTTTTTTTTTTTGAGTTGGAGTGTCACTCTGTCTCCCAGAATAGAGTGCAGTGGCACACTCCTGGCCACCGCAGCCTCGACCTGCTGGGCTCCGGCAATCCTTCCGCCTCAGCCTTCCAAGTAACTGGAACTATAGGCACGCGCTACCATGCCTGGCTAATTTTTTTGATTTATTGTAGAGATGAGGTCTCACTAACTTGCCTAGGCGGGTCTCGAACCCGCTGGCTCAGGCAACTCACTTACCTCGGTCTCCCAAAGCATGGGATTACAGGCTGAGCCACTGAGCTCAGCTAAAATAACTAATTTTAATGGTTGTAACCTATGTTAGTTTTTGAAGGGTTATTGAGGAATTTTATACTTTTATTTTAAATATTTTTCCAGAGTTACCACAAGAGATTGCTTTTCAATGTTTCTTCCAATTTTCAGATTCCATGATGAAGTTGTGTTGTATGATGAACTGAACTCAGTCCTATAAAGACTATATAAAAATAAAATGCCTTCCATGTGATCAGCTTCTTCAGCTAGTTGGTAGAAAAGTAGGCTTCATAAAAGGAAACAGAAGGAACGGAACTGTAATAACAATAATTCCTATTCTAATCACTATCACTTAGCAAATGCCCACAGGGAGTGTAGGCCACACAACACACACCCAAAGGGTTACTCCAGAACGCAAAGACATTGTACAAAATCAGAACCTGAAGAAGTAGCCCTTCATGGATCTACCAAATAGGAAATTGTCAATGTTCTTGCTATCCAAGAGCTTATAATTTAAAATGTAAACTAGATGGTTTGTAGACAAAACATTATTATACATTGATTAGACACAAAGTATAAATGAACGCAAGTACCTTCAGTATGATGTTAAATTGGAAACCAAGATAGTTAATGTTCCTATTAGAGAACCAGGAAAAATAATATGGACTTCTCAAATTAAAAATACCTAAATTTTAATCAATAAATGGACATTTATTTTTATGGGCTGAAACTTAATTCTAGCAGTACTTAAAAATATCTTGATTCTATTGTGGAAGGAGCACTGAACTGGGATCAGTAAGACCCAGAGCTTGATGTTCATTATCCATATAACCTTAAAGAAGCCACTTGTCTTCTCTGAGCTTCATTCATACAGTTTAGGGATTAAGCTGGATATTGTCTTTCAGTTCTGACATGCATGATTCTATGGCTATGTTACAAAAGAGCACAAATATTATTACAGATTTTTTAGCCTTCTACAAGTTTATATATTTATTTTCTAAAGGCTGAACTAGTCTTCAAACAAAGCACAGTCAACCTGATTGATATCTCCTCATCAATAGTAGAAACACAAATCAATATTAAGAATTCAAAGATCTTCACTGCTAGTGTGAACTACAATGTATGGTAAGAATTTAAAGCTGGTGGCTCAGCCTATAATCCCGTGCCTTGGGAGGCTGAGGTGAGTGGATTGCCTGAACCCGCGGGTTCGAGACCCGCCTGGGCAACTTGGTCAGACCGCATCTCTACAATAAATCAAAAAATTAGCCGGGCGTGATAACGCGCGCCTGTAATTCCAGCTACTTGGAAGGCTAAGGCGGAAGGATCGCCAGAGCCCCAGCAGGTCGAGGTTGCGGTGGCCGGGAGTGGAGTGGGCAGTGCACTCCAGTCAGGGCGACAGAGTGAGACTCCAAAAAAGAATTTAAGAAAACCATCTTCAACCTTCGTAAGATATTTCTAACAAAGGCAAATGATGGGTATCTTCATAGAGAACCCTAAATCAGCTTTGCAAAAAGAAGTTTATGTAAATATCATGATCATTAGTGAATTATATTTTGAGAAATGAAAAACGAATTTGAAGCAAGGGGGATTATACAGCATTCCAGTTAGGTAGCATAGTTTCTTTATTCCTATTAAGCCCAATACTTCAGCAGTTTTCTTAAAGCTTTGTTTATGCATTTCTTTCTTGAATGCCTATAAAGACCTGTTGTAAGATAGTACAGAGAAACAACTACATGCTTGTTTTTTTTTTTTTACTGTTCTTTGATGTAAAAAGCTTCTGATGGAGATGGAAGTGCCTGAGAAACTTCTGAGCAGTGTGTTCTTCAGTAACAAATTCTGAAGCTCATGTTAGCATTCATGGCAAACCTCAGTCAGCTGTAGGCATATGCCAAAAGCAAAAGGGTAGATGACTACAGTGAAAAACAAAATGGGCCAGGCATGGTGGTTCATACCTATAATCCCCTACACTGTGAGAGGCAGAGGTGGGAGGATTGCTTGAGGCCAAGGCCAGGAGTTGATGAACAGCCTGGGCAGCATAGTGAGACTGTCTCAACAAAAAATTAAAACTAGAAAAACCATTAAAAAATTATGAGAATAAAAAATAATGAGGAGATGGGGGGCACCAATTAAAAATAGCACCCAGAATGCGATAAAACAAAATGGACACACTGAAGAATCATCTTTAGTTAAAAAGAGGAAGGAACTCCTTCCTCATGCCATAATGTGCTCTGCTCTGGTGGAAGAGGCAGGGGTAGGAGAAGTAGGAGAAGGGGCCAGTTGGTGAACTACTTGCAGGTGAAACTGGTGAGACTCCACTTCTTGAAAGATTTCAGTTCAAGGCATGCAGGCTCCAAAGAAAAGGATTGCAGTAACTGAGCCTGAACCAACTCATTCCTAGGGAATCTGGTAACTGAAGGGAGGGAGAGGACCCTGATTGAAATTTAGGAAGATTATCTTCCCTGAAATAATTTCTTCATTTACTTGCTAATGCCTTAAAAATCTGCAAGTTAGACTGGGCATGGTGGCTCAAACCTATAATCCCAACAATTTGGGAGGCTGAGGTGGAAGGATTGCTTGAGCCCAGGAGTTTAAGACCAGCTTGGGCAGCATAGCAAAACTTTGTCTCGACAAAAAATTAAAAATAGAAAAAAAAATTTAAAAATTTACAATTTAGTATAAAATAGTTGAAATGAAAAATAATTGAAGCCATGCAGTTAAACACATTAATAGCCGGGCTCGGTGGCTCAGCCTGTAATCCCGCACCTTTGGGAGGCTGAGGTGAGTGGATTTCCTGACCCCGCAGGTTCGAGACCCACCTGGGCAGCGAGACCTCATCTCTACAATAAATCAAAAACTCAGCCGGGCGTGGTAGCGCATGCCTGTAATTCTGGCTACTTGGAAGGCTAAGGCCCTAGGATCGCTGGAGCCCAGTAGGTCGAGGCTGCGGTGGCCGGGAGCAGCCACTGCACTCCAGTTTGGGTGACAGAGTGAGACTCCAACTCAAAACCAAAAAAAAACCAAACAAACAAAAAAACACATTAATAGAGTCAGAGCAAAGAGTTTATAATAACAGGGGGAAATGACTGATAGCAGCTCCTTTTAGGTTCTAATGGGACATAGGTGGAGGCAACTGGAAAGACCTAAATGCAGAATTGGCAAAAGAGGGGTCATAGCTGTGTTCAAGAGTGTTTCTGAGGGTGTGTGGGAGGAAGAAGAAGAAGGGCTGGGAAGAAGCAGACTTCACAGAGATAGTGACTAATGACTATTCAGCAACAGTTTTGTTTAGCCTCAACTAGGAAGAGACCAGTAGGAGGAATGAATGCCCCGTTAACATCAACCATGTTTACTCTTGACAGGGAAGGAACAAGTTAAAGCAACGAAGGGCAGCTCAGTGTTTATTTATCCTCAATTGGGAAACGATCAACGAGATGCTTGAATCAAGGTATTTAAGAGAGAGTTAGTTGCAAAGGCAACTTCAGATGGTCTCTAGGCAAAGGTTTAAAAACACAGGTAGGCCATGCTCAGTGGCTCATGCCTATAATTCTAGTATTTTGGAAGGCTGAGGCTGGAGGATTGCTTGAGCTTAGGAGTTTGAAACCAGCCTGGGCAACATGGCAAGACATCGATCTACAAAAAAGTCATTAAAAAAAATTAGCTGTGTGTGGTGCTGCACACTTGTGACTCCAGCTACTTGGGAGGCTGAGGCAGAAGAATTGCTTGAACCCAAGAGTTTGATGGTGCCATGAGCCATGATCATGCCACTGCACTCCAGCCTGGTGACAGAGTGAGATCCGAACTCAAAAAATAAAATAAATAAAAATTAAATACAGTCA